GCACAAATAGACTTAAATTAACAGAAAAACATGTCAATAGTGCAGAGTGACACAATTAATAGTAAATAACGAAAAAATTAGGGTACTCATACATTAAAATTATAGTAATAAATTATATTAAATACGACACTTTTATCTTAAACTGCAGAACACAGTTAACACCTAACATTCTTTATATTTATTTACAGTTATTTTACTTTCTAGTGACGAATTTGACTCGTAACATATTTTTCATTTTTTACTGATCAATTCAGAACTAACAAAAACATCGCGTAATAAATAAAAATATCCCATCAAAAATATAAAGTATAAAAAAGGCACTTCTCGCAACGCAGTTCTTCCACTACAAAAAGTAGTCAGATCTCATGCAAAAACAAGAAAGTTATTTTAGTTAATGTATATGAAAATAATACGTGTATTAATAAGGGCTGTCACTGGATACGGTAAACTCAAAAAGCACAGGGCTAATTAAGATTATGCCTAATAAGTGTTTGCAGATTTTTTTTTGTGCGACTTATAATGGCAAACAAGCTGACGGCCCACCTGATGGAAAGTGGTAACTGTCGCCTATAGACATGAGCAGTATCATGGACATAACAGAGTATTACTGTAGTACTGTTTCGTAATAATACTCCATATATCTAATACTCAATAATATACATAATACTTTCCATACGTTGCCATTCCTGAGGACTCAGGTGTTATTCCTCTGTACCCTATAAATTTACACAAACAAACACAGCCAAAACACAGCCATGCACACAACTGCTTCACGGTAGAAACAGGAATGAGACAGAGATGCCCAAGCAAACGACTTTTGTACAAAGTCTCTCTTTGGTAGATTTTATCACAATGAGGAATAAACGCCGCCGCTTTTGGGGGCGTAATGTATTATAACACCTCCTACCATCATAGGCTTTTTATCGTCTAAATAACTTGTCATGATTAACATCTGATCACGATTACATTAACATTAAATTATCTACATTTATTCTATGTTTTAATATTATAATGTTATGCTTTACTTATCAATGATAGAAATTATTGCTGCTAATTTCTATCACTTTAAAAAAGGGCAAGCACAATAGATCATAGAAAGATCGCAATGTCACAGGTTTTTCTGACTATAAATACCCGTTTTTCAATAACAATAACAGTGTCTATGGAAGCACTTATTTAACAACTTTGTTAGAAATTGTTATCTAAGCAATTACAACCTATCAACATTTATAGTGACCGTATCAATATTAGACTATTTTATTCCTATAATAATAAAAACAAAATCTAATGCAAAATCTACTATTAGGATTAACTCTCAAGACTAAGAAAACACTCAAGAATAAGAATTTATAACTTGTAGAATATGTTACTATAAATACTAATGCACAAAGAAACAGTAAGTGCGGTGACAATTGAATATTTCCTCTTTTTGAAGTGTGTAAGTTATCTTCCTCATACGAGTATAATGAAATTGTAAGAAGACGATGTCTGTATATATGTTAGATATTTATGAAAAAAAACAATGCAATAGATACTAAAATAATAAACTTTAGAATTTTGACACGCAAATATTTCTGCACCAAATTGAACACTGCTTCTATTGTTACGTATATATGTTTTATCTTGATTTGTCATTTAAAACATACTGGTTACTTATATAAAAAATTTACGCGTACGAAGTTGTGGCCAAAAGATACTTATCAATATTTATAAAACTAACGTTCTTTTATTAATACACAAGCATCATTTTTTTTCTAAAAGATTATCGTATATAAGAAATCAAGTTCTGCGTAGTATGGGACTAGATGACGCTATGTAATAACAAATTATTTTAAACAAAATTATTAAAAAAATGTATTTTTTAACTGACTACAAAAAAGGAGGAGGCTCTTAATTCGATTGTGTTTTTTTTTATCTTTGTTACCTTATAACTCCTTCATTTATATACCATTGAAATCGCTTTAGTACTTTAATTTTAAAAATAAAATAACCAGTTTGACACGATAAAGTCAATGTTTATTTTTTCAACCAACTTCAAAAAGGAAGTTCACACTTTGATTGTATTTTGTTTTTATGTTTGTTACCCCATAACTCTGTCAATTGTAGACTTTTTTCGAAAATTCTTTTTTTTATCTGAAAGAATATACTTACAAAAGAGTCCTATAGAAATTTTATCGAAAAAGGTCCAGTAGTTTAGTTTTTAAATCAAAATAACTGGTAGTACATTTGAAGTCGGTGTTTGTGCGACACGATCATTAATTATTCTAGAACAAGATTTCAAATTATTTGTACATATATGGCAATGCATGGTGATCATTTCTAAAGTTAATGAACAAATTGTGAAAAAAGTCATACACTAATTGGAAGCTCAGACTGCTATGCTTATTAAATATTTCTATTTATGCTATTATTTTTACAATATTATCATACTTACTTGTACAACAATTAGTCCATTACCTTAAAGTTGTCTTGAAAAGAATGCTTTCAGCAATAAGATCACCTTACTGCACTTATACAACTGTATCGTTACATTTTTTAATAGTCTATCTTATTCCCTATATTGTAAAATGTAAATAAAGTATACTCATTCATTTTTATTATTAGGTATTTGCTATTTGTATTTTCTACGTATTGATATATATCAGATTTGCGCAGGAGTCTCGCGATATATATTCAAGAAATCTTAATAATGGAAACTACCAATTTGTGACGTAATTCATTTTCAAAGAACTTCAACAGCTTAACCACAATAATGCCTTGGAGAAATACCTACATAGTACAAATTCCACGTAACATCCGCATATAGGTATAGTGAAGGTAGTAGTTAATATCTTCCTTTAGGGGGAAAGGGATTGTTAGTAATGGGGTCAAATAGCCCTATTACTAGCAATATACCCTGTCAGGTCGACCTCCACGTTGTTCCCCCTGGAAACCATCGTGACTAATTCTAGTTTAATTCGTCAGGATGGGCTAACTGACCTACTTTCATCTTCATCTGTCATCCCTCACTAGTGCCCCGCCAGCGTATACCAATAGCGCAGACGGGGTTACCATACCCTACATTACCATACATGGGTTATCACCCATTAAAAAAAAATACCTTCATTAAACATGTCCAGTAATTGGAACTTATATTCGAATTATATTCGAATATTCGAGCCCAGGGATTTCTTTTGATAGGCGAAAACGGAACGGTAATTCCGCCTGCGCTATCAGAATACACTAGCAAACCCAAGGGGTAAGATCATCCTTCTATGTAAGTTATATCAATGACTCTCACCAAATACTCAGAACAATCGCTACAGTCTGATATATATGAGGTCTTACTTCGAAGTGGCAATGAACGAGAGGTGTCATGTATCTACAGGATAGTTATCTATACCTTTTTATCAGGGTTTTATGCTGTTGAATTTTAAACGGTTTGTTCCGTTCTATCACATTTTAAAACATTATGTTTTATTGTTAAACATAGCATGTAGAATAGTTCAAATCATAGAGAAGAATAGAAGAATAAATAAATTAAGAATTGCAACATCACTAATAAACAATATCGAGGAAACAGTAGGGTCGAACCTGAGGTTCTCAAAACCTAGGGGTCTGTAAAATTAAAATTTCAATTTGATATCACAGCGAAATCTTTAAGGACCAATATTAACTAAATTTCCAATAGATTAAAATCAAAATTGTATACAGTAATTTCGCAAAACTACCTAATTAAAATATTGGGTTAAGTGATAAATTTATGGCGCCATAGAATCGGCTCCATTGCCATAAAAAAATATTAAATAGAGGTACTTGTTACATCATGTTTCGAATATCGTACGATCTTTTTTATAATCATATCAACTACAGGTATTTATGTCGAAGATACAATGTTACAGATATACCTGCTTAGATTATATAAGGAGGGAATGTACCCGTCAAGATCAAAGGTCGCGGTCGGCTGGTACTTGTTAAGGAAGGAAGGCCACATCGTAGGGCAGAAACTCAAACAATTTACGATAAACTGTAGCAGGCACGCAAGCCCTTGAACTTCTAACGAGCATATTGTTAAGATGTAATTTTGCACGACAGTCTTGAGTTAACCAGGTAGATTAAGAGATACTACGACGATAACATAATGTATACAGTTGCTCTTGATCTCAACTAATGAGAGACTTAATTTATTTTTACTGTAGAAACTTATCTATTCCTCTTTTGTATATAAGTTCATCTCCATTTTAAACAGTTTTCTAGGTTAGTATTTATCAATTAATAAAAACGATAAATAAAAGTAAAATTAGTTATCTAATAAAATAATCTAATAGAAAATTTAATGTTTTCCCCTCATGTGCCGTTTTATACAATCTATATGAGATTCAAGCATATCAAAATCAGTGTTACGTTAATACCAGCCATAAACGGAGAGATTTATTGCTTAGATTAATCGAAATTACTTCAAATCGACTATATAAAATTGGATTCGATATCACAATACACGTACGACCGATCATTCAATTTCACATATTGAACAATGGGTAAATACCGTAAAAGGAAAAATGGAACCCTTATCTCTTTAATATCTGTCTGAAATTAATATCAAATACTCAAGCCTACAATCTCTTGAGGCTGTGAAAAATAAAATTTCGAAGTTAGTCTAATTAATAATAAAGAGTAATATTACGTCCACATAGCAGTGATTTGATCACTATTAATTCTAAATAACTGCTAATGGTCATGGCCAAAAGTTAATTTAAAAGTTGCTGGCGATAAAAGTAGCTCCCGGGCATACCGGGATTTATAGGTCCGACCACGGCTTCGCGGTCAGAAAGGCCTCACGCTTCGAGGATTTCTACTGTTTTTTTATTTAACCAAAAGAAATTTTATATTTCACCATTTTTAAACCATCTTTTAGGGTCAAAGAGCCTCGCGCAAAATGTTTTTGCCAACATCCATTTTAGGTCGCACTCCTCCGTAACTGCTGGGAATTATAAATAAGGGACTTAAATAAAATAAAACGGTATGACGATACTTGTATTTATTTAAGGTACAGATGGCCAACGTGGAAAATTACCTCTACATACCCAGTTATAACAGATATTAAGTATATACAAAATAATATCGTCTCTAACACATTGTAAACATGTTAATATACAAATTATGGACACATCACTGCAAATCCTTGTTTGCGATTGTAAACGACTATAAACTCTTAGGCGTCCATTAAACCGATAGATTTTGCTTCAGTCATGAGTTATAAATATAAAGGATTGGTGGAATGACGGAAGACGACTAACATCATACATTTACAGGTCACTTATTGTTACATAACAGTGACAGACCGACATTAAAATCTATCGTTTTATGAATGCCTTATATCAAAAATTTGTTCAATAAGTAGACGAATTTTTATCTCATTTAGTTATCTTAGACCTATACTTGATGTCTTTATACAATTTTTGATTTCATATCTAATATGTACAAATATTATTTCTGTGCATATGAAAATACAACAAGTCATTAATTTGTTAATGATAATGAATAAATTTAAGTACAGAATGATTTGACGTTGTGTTGATCTGTGTGTATTTTCAATTGCACCTGTACTACGTTATTTAAAAGGCCGTCCTTGCTAGGAATAGCAACGACAGTCAACTCGAATGACGTGGTTTTCCATTATTATAATTTTACACGATGTTTAGTATCAAAACACATTCAAAGAAATTGTATGCAGAGCATACGAATATTATAAATAAGAAATATTTATGTAGTTATTATACATAATAGTAGGTAGTTTTTACGAGTGCAATAAAATTATCACCATTATCATTGCAAACTTGATTTTTTTTTTATTTATAATACTTGTACACTTTATATACAATTTTAGTATGATAACTGAAAAGATTTTGTAATATAAAAATATGGATAATCGAGTTTAAGTCGTTGCAATTCTTAGTAAAGAGGACCTGTTATGAAAAATTATTCATCAATATATCACCATTATCATACTCGTAACACATGTTTTTTTATTATATACTTATATATCACAAAAACTAAGAAGTTTTTAATATTTCATAAACTATACGCTAATTGGCGCTAGTAGTACAGCTATTACACGTAAATAATTAAGAACTTATTTTCTTACAATAGTTGCTAAAAAATGAAAAACTTTCTAAAAAAAAATCTATGCCGACTTGCAATACAATTTATCCTAGAGATGAATAAATAATTCAGTCACATTCATGTAGGTTTCCAATAAACTTAAATTAACATTATTTCTACACGTTAAAGCTTCTTTCATTTTAAACTCGTAGGGAATGTAGATTCTATATACATCATATTTACTCACAGTTATAATAATTTTGTCTACATGTCCTTTATATGGAATATTATATGGAATTGTAAATTTAGTTTAGATATTGATCCAAATGTTATGTAATGATTGAAAAATAATTTTTTGTTGCATTTATGTTCAATGCGACTTTTTTACGGTTTGAAGATCACAGATGGCATGTATAAAAAGTAAAGGCTATAAAAACGCATAATTCTATTTACGTCATTTTGGAACAGTGCCTATGAGATATTCAAAGCAGCATAATGTACGAACCACCAATGAGTGTTCGATAGAATCGTATCTTATGAGTATCGTAGTGTACGAAGAGCCTTAGTAAGTAGTAGTAAGTACATGTAATGTCTCCATAACTTTTATAGACCAGTTAAAAATAAAAAATGTATTTATCATTCAACGGTAATGATTATTAAATTATGACTTTAGTTATAAAAATATTTATCCATAATGGCGCCACCATTTAGTACTTTAGAAAAATTAAGATGTTTTTAAAAATATTAACTGGCGACTTTGTTAAATCCTTTTACCATTAAAATGTATCATTCCTGTATGAGGCAAGGACAATTTATTATTTTCCATAATTCTATATAACACAGATAAGTCACAAACTTATGTTTATGATTCATAAATTTGTTTGCATATTTAGCTCAAGGAATAATATATACGAGTATGTATTTTTTATTTGACGCTAATTTATATGAATAAACAAAAGAGTAATATACATCTAATGAAAATTAAAATATTGTATTAAATATATAGAGACTATTAATAAGTTTTATAGTAATATGTTATAATTTCGCAGAACACGTTCATTGGCTTATGGGGTATAGTTAATACTTATATATTTTATTGTAAAAATTTGAAACTACATATTTGATTGCAAGTTTAAAATCTGTCATTAACAACAAATTAATATAAAATAGGTATGTTATGGAAATAATACAAATATTATGAAAAAAAGATTATAGAATAGTTTAGAAGTGAACTTGTTGGAAATCAAACTAATTTCATAATAATGAAATTCAATCATTCATTAAATAATGAAAATAATGCAACATTGACAGTTTAACTGTGTACGCTGGGCCTTAATTCCTTCACTTATATAAAATGTTCCACTGAGATCTATTTAATTCCATATGCATATCTGTACAAGTGATATAAGACTATACAACATTAGTCATAGCCTCGCAAAGAAAAACTTAAAAAATAAGTGGGTAACAGCTCGAGATTTTTGTAATAATAATAACTGCTCTATACCACCGCCGCTTCACATATACCATATAAAGGAAAATTGAATTAAACAAAATTGTCAAACAAATATGGACGGATACAGTATCGCAACCTTATGTAATAAAGCTACGCACAAACTATATTTTTTTTTATATAAAATATATTTTATTAGCGTATACATACAAATCGCGGCAGTGGCTTGGCATCTATATTGTACAAGCTAGGAGACATAAACAGATGAGGACTAGGCAAATCCTTCACATGGAGATTTATCTCGCACTCCCCAAACGATCGCTAGAGAAATTTATATGCGATTAGATTAGCGTCATTTCAAGACCGCTCACCAAACAGAGATATCACTGAGATAGGACAAGGGTTGCCACCATAAAAAAGCATATTCTTTTTATTTTATTTACTTCTTATTGTTGAAATCATTTTCCTAAAATGAAAAAAAGTAAATTTTTGTGCAGATTTTGATACATTTACTAGTAAATTTTGGCACAGATTAAAATAGTATATTATTAATATTAATAATTAAGGAAGGTGTTTACATTGTAATTGTTTTATAAACAACATATTTTCCATTATGCGGTTAATGACTCACTAACTAGATTAGCGGGTAAAGTTAATATGATATACAAAAATAAATTATGAATTTATTAAATGTAGTTTTACTAGTGTTTCCAGGGTTTACTCCAAATTCTTGAGTTCATAGTGAAAAATATGTATATTTTTTTTTATAATCCAATGAAGTGTGTAAAAGTGAAATAATGTCAACATCGATAATTTCAACGTCGAAGACTAATGTATAACTCTATAAGTACATGTAGGTTGTATCTTCCCCTGACCCTATCTGAATTCCATAACAGCAAACAGGCGGCAACCCTAGCTAAGATCAACGTTAGGAGCACCGCTCAGTGGTAGTGTGAGAGCTTGCCCGGTCTTCTCGGCGGCGCCGTCTCGTACTCATAATAGTTGGACTGTGGCCGCGCACCGCCCTCTTTACAGGAGCGCTGTGAGTGGTAACCACCCGACCCTACGCCTGCACGACGACTGTACAACAGACAAGTTGAGTTTATTTTTTTTAAGACGGAACAACAAACAAACTGCTCGTCCACCTAATAATAGTTGTAAATGTCTATAGACAAGAATAGTGGCATAGGCCTCATAGAATACACTGCGTTGTTCATGGAGGTTATTATTATTTTATTACCATAGTTCACTCTTCAAATACGAACTATGCAAGCACAACTGTTTAACTTGATGGTAAAAACAATAGTAACCATGGAGTGCATCATTTTTTTTCAAACGTATGGCAATTAATTTAATAAACTTCAGGTGAGTTGTACTTGTTTAATCTCTGTTTCAAATATTGATAAAACCTACGGAGACATAATCATCATTCTATTGTACAGTTATACATCTAGCTAATATTATTTCTTTACTCTAGTACAAGCTTTCGTGTTCTTATAAGAGTAAACAACGTTAATACCATGACACTGTGAATGGACACGGCGGCTGATTTAGCTATTACGGACAAACAAGAGTGACGGCACTAATAGAGATGACTTGATGATTTATGATTTTGGAATATCTATTTGCGTGCAATGTGCCAATGTAAATATGTTTGATAATCACTAGGAAATGTGTAATAAAAGATTTAATGGTGAACGATGACGACCTTGTTGGTGTAGCGGTTTAACATTATTGTTTTATTTAGTGGTTTAACACACTACCTCGTCTGTGGTTCAGAAGTCAATGTGCACACAATACAAACATTTGTATTCGTGACTATATCTGTTTGTATTAGTCTGGGTATTTTCTACAAGGTATTTACAAAAAAGAACCATATATTTACCCATTACACGGAGTATAAAACATTACATGACCATTATTGTATGAATATCTGTTAGATAAAACATTAGCACTACTCAAAACATTACAATAACAACTCTAAATAAACAATACAGTCATGGAAATAACTGAGGGAAATTACAAAGCACATGCATCTTACCGACATTATGTGACGGTCGTGGAGAAGCAGGAAAAACAAAACCTTATTATCTTTAATTACGGATTACGTTTAATTGAGCGTTACCACTTTGCGGCATCAATTAGGGACTGCGCGTAGGATTTCCCTTATTTACTGATTAATTTAACTTTGAATATCTAATTTTATAGGCTAAGTTAATTTGCCATGTACAAAAGTATCTATTTTATGTAAGTTTCACAACAAATTTGAATGGCCCATTATTTTTTGAAGATATTTTTAAATAGTATCCAAGTTTCCTACAGAAGTTAGAATAAAAATAATACTATGTGTTAATCTAAGATTTTCGCCAGTGTCTAACATACAAAATTAAATTCTAGTTTAGATAGTGGAGATCCAACACATACTGAGTAGATTTTATATTTTAGTTTATTAAAAATTGCATGGAATTGTATGAATATGATGTTCTGGGCTAAATAAATAAATTTTTATATTATTATTTATATTATTATTAAGATATGGTAAACCACAGATAGAATTATGTGGGCTAAATTGCTATTAAATTCTTTTAATCTTTTAAATGTGATTGAGTAAGAAACATCTAAATATATTTACAAACTTTTACATTTATAATAGCTTTTTTTGTTTAAAAACAAAATTATTTCTACTGCGTAATGAATAACGTTGAGAAATGCCGTTTGTGTTCCCCTCAAAGGAATATATAAATAAAGTTTTTATTTGTTTCATAAATTTATATTTAACTATAACAATTTTATAAAATATAGTAGTGTGTACGAGCGGGTATAAAAATGAACATTTTCTCCGCAAAAAAAAGGTTAGACGAAGGGTGATGAGATAATTCATAGACACATTAAAATCAACAAATTTAAATTTAGAACACGAAATCGTGTATCAACTAATATATTTTTTAACATGACAAATTTAATTTGGGATTAACACAAGATAAACCCCATCGGTTAGTAAAAAGAATTATCACAACAGATGGTGACATGCAGGATTAATAAAATAAATAACGGCGAATAGTATAATAATATATTTCAATAGGTTTTTCCTATTGAAAGCCGCTTTAAAAATAATGAATTTTCATTCGATTTATCGCAAAGCTGTGCGTGGCTAGCCTTTGACAATCTGCGAATGCCTTGTGTTATAACAAGAAAGGTGAAACATTCTGGGGATTCTATGTCAATAAATTAACAGCCAGCCTAAGAAGGAAACATCGTTTTAAACTCGCAGCAACATTGTAAACGCTTGTAAACGCTTTGACCCCGCGTTTAACTACGTATAAACGTTACAAAGGTAGCAATTATTATTCACATACATATTTTTTTTAGAAGTATTCCATTCAAAATTTTAATGGTTTTAATCGAAGTGGTCTCTCGAGTTTGTACCCTTACTAATTTTACAAAAAAAAATATTTCTTTTTTGTGCAAAGAATTTTTAAATTATTTATTACAATTTCAGATTCAATGATTACTAAACCCACTAATATTTGTATTGTAATAAATGTTAAAATTCATAAAGATGTTCGAATGTTTGTCACTCAATCACACACGGATAGACTGTTTCGGATAGATAGTAGATAATAATTAGGACAGGTAATTGAAGATAGTGACAGTGAATGTAGTTATCTTTTCTATTATTTTAGGTGATGTGGCTGTTTTCAGCATTATCATCCTCATATCAGTCGTTAACTGTCCATTGTTGAACGAACGCCGCTTCCCCCCCCCCCCCCCCCCCCCCCCCCATCGATTGTATAAGCAATAAGTTTTCTGCATAATTAGCCCCGCATTCACACAGACAGATGCGTGTATTAAAATTAGTAATAATAACTTGATCATATATTCACCTCTCCTCGACCGCTTTCTCCCTCTGCGCGCGCACCTGCCGCCTCATCTGGCCGATCTGCACTTCGCTCAACTTCTCACGTCGCGCGCTAATATAACCAACAATAAATTATTTACATAAAACTATTAATATAAAGGTACTACATGACTACGAAATAATAACAAGATTCATAAATATATATCAAATAATATTATATTTGTAAAAAAATTTAAAGTTGTTTGTTACTTAACTTTTTTAACAGCTGGATTGATTTTTTTTTTATTAAAAGGCACACTGATGCTTTATATCTTTACTTAATACATAGGACTCTTTTTATATTAATACCTGATATGCAATTAAAATAAATACATAGGAGGAGAATTTGCGATAATACCGAAAACGGAATAGGTAAGTACCTACGTCATGTTATTAAATTTAAATATAGTCGAAGAACCAGTAGGAACTTACACATTTAATGAAATAAAAATATTATGTAATAGTTATTTTCATAGCATATTTCTTTTATTTTAATTATTTTCAGGTAATAATCATACTTCACTATAATTAAATTATAAAATTATTATAAATTATGTATTATTATTAAAATATAATTAAACACGTTAGTAATTTTAATAATAAAATAAAACTTAAATTTTTTTACAAAAAACTTACTTAAGATTTTGTTGTATTTCATCATAATTGACGTAATGACCAGTGGGGCCCCAAGCGCTGTCCATCGCCTGCAAAATAATGAACATGAGTATATAGAATCCTTTGTAAACTGTATAAAACATATTAGCCTTAGATTACGCCACTTAATTCTACATGTATAATTTGCTTTTAATAAAACTTGAAGAATATAATAAAATGCACCCGATTTGCATGCTAACCGGGAACTGAAAGCAGGCAACGCGGGTGCTTTTTATCATATTTTCGCTCATCTTTTCGTCTTTCATTTAAATGAGTTTCATTAAACAGTTTTAAATATGCACAATTCAGCGACGGGATCTTAGGCTATATAGAAATTAACAACGGCACCAACCAGTCAATTGGTCAAGAATAAAATTGGGATCGCCAGTTAATGGGCCATAACCAGTGTTACGAACATCGTAACACTAAAAATAGAATCTTCACAATGCCTTGAGATCTGTGGGTGATTTTTATGTTGTAATCAAGCAACTAATCATGATAATTTTACATGACTGTGTTATATATACAATATATATGTATGTTTTCAGGGTTCATGCATGTACCTGAGTTTCTTTATTCGACCATAAATTCTAAATGCCTGATCATGTTTAGATGTATGAGGTATTGTTAGAATCATTACATCATCCCGAGTGGCACTGATTGTAATTTTTAGTTAAAGTTTTAAATAATCAGTCAGAAATATTAAAAAATTACTAAATTGTTTTTGAATACTGACAGATAAATGCGACGTTGCCACACTTCGATTATGAACGCTCTTAATTTTTTAACTAAGCACTGAGATACAGGCTCAGCCTAGTTCGGTGGCTAGTAGATGTAACTAGGTGTGAATTGTTATTAAATAAAGAATTATCAATTATCTTAATTTAAATTATAAAACTTGTATATGACCTTGTGCTCGGAGGGCGCAGTGCGTGCGGGTGGTGAGCGGTATGGCGGCGCGGTGCGGGACGACTTGTGGCTGCGGTCGCCGCTGCCGCTGCTCTGTCGCGAGTGCGTCACCTCAATGCCTGCCGCGCCAATCCTGTCGGTGTGAACACACATTACTATCAGTAAGTAACAAATATAGTCCAACGCCTTTGACATGTCCCAAATTGTTGTCTAGACATGTCCGCTGGGCTATTGATAAAAGAGATTTTTTTACCCTGTGCTTTACCCTTTACACTAATCGGCTGATGAAATACACATTTAACGCAAGTAATGTCAAACAAAAAAATTACAGAAACTTTTAAATATTTTAATTAATTTGTTTAAATATTGCACAAGATTTATATAGCCTAGGTTATCACCAAGATAGTATTTTTAAAAAGTAATATCATATATAAATTGAGTATAGAACAAAGTTGGTGATGAAAATGTACTGCTGGTATAGAATAAAACTTTTTTTTATACCTGTCCTCGTCCATCCTATCTATACGTTCGGCCCGGTGTCGTTCTCTATCGAGCGCATCGCGCGACAACGACTTCTCGGACGCACGACCCGGCGCCGTCCGCCCGTACATCTCCGGCTCTGGCTTATTGTGAGGCTTGCCGATCCTAATATCGAAACATGTCACTTAAAGAATTTATCCACATTGAATGTTCTGATGTTGTTCTTTCTAGTTATTTGTACAATTTACTAAAGAATTTTAAAGTAAAACTAGCATCAAAGCGTCTCATGTTTGCTTTTTTTACGTCACGAACTTGGCAAACATGTATACAGCTCGTCTGATCGTAAATGATGCTTATTATTACTGTAACCTTTTAAAAGATACAATAAAGAGTATCTATCTATTTAATTGAGAAATAACAATTATATCGTAATTTCTTGATGATGATTCTGAAATTACTTCGATATAATGGTCGCTGTTCTTTTTATGGAGGATGACATAAAAAAAACAGCGGGAAAGTTGTGGTATAGATTAACGAAAGATAGAGAAAAGTGGAAGGATCTTAAGAAGGCCTATGTCAAAGGATAAGCTGGAAAAGTTGATTAGAATTGTAGTTTTAAATGTTTGTAAAATGTAATACTTTCAGCAATAAAGGCTTATTATTATTATTAATTTCTTGATGCTAAATATCCATTATTATTATTTTTTGTTAAAAATTAGTAAGGTTTTTCGATGATAGTATGGAAATTACTTAAACATATATTTATATCTCATTTTGATTGTTCCATTTTTTTTATTTAGGATGACTTGTGCATAAAATACATAAACTGAATTTAGTACCTGAACATAGTTGATAGAGCCTTAAATAGAGATGGCTTTTTAGTTGACAGTGATGACTGTTGCGGCGATCCTCTGATAATTCCTTCAGGACCAGTGTTATCGTCTGTTAGCCAATGCTTTAACGCTGCGAAATTAAGTATTTTTTCATATAAATAATTTGGAATTTAAAATAAAGTAAATAAAATAATTTTATATCATTAATTTTAAATAACTCACGTGGGTGCGCTCGCGCATATATTGGTTCGTTCCGCGGATTTCTTTGGTTTTCCTGTATGGCCGTTTGTAACGATTCTAAACTTGATGATTTTCGCATACCCAAAGATGGACCAACTTGCATTGCTGAAATAAGAGACAGAGTTTAGTATTTTTTGTGTAATTTAGTTATATAAAAAAATTATACATTTTACTTAAACGTTATATACTTTATTAACATATTCTAAATATTTATTATAAGAATTTACATGTTTTTCATTTAAATCTGACTGGTAGTTTCAAAGAGTAGCGCTTTTAAAAAAAAAACTCGTTTTATTATATTAGTACAGGTAATTCTATGTCCTACTGTACTTTAGCTTATGGTGGAGGGATTAGCAGCAGCACCAAAAACCAAACTGCGGTTGCCAATCCGCCTGCCAAGCGTGGCAACTACTGACAAAACCCACTTATGGAGGAGGCTATGTTCAGCGGTGAACAGTTAATAGCTGATACAACAACAACAACTGTATTTTCATATCTATCTATCCTATTTAAGAGCTGCGTTCTTGTCGGTGGAGCTCTTGCCACTCACTACGATTTTCAGGGAGTCTGTTCACCTTTTGATACGACACGACACCAACTCCTTTCTTGATCTGCCTGATGTAACTATGTCTCGGTCTCCCTCTCCCCCTCCTTCCTTCTATTATAATGTTCATAAGTTCGTCGTGTCGTATCAAGTGTCCTAACATTTTTCCCCTTCTGTCCTCAATAGTTCTAATAATATTAGTATTTTCATACAGTGGTGCAGAAACTCACAGTTGATGGCCTTGATCTCTCTGATCTTCTTGTATGTGCCGGTCTGCTTGGCGTCGAGCGCGGCGTGTCGCTTCTCTGACATGGACCGTCGCCCGACCGCGTCCCGGCTGAACGCGCCGCCTGTGCCGCTCTCGCTACCAGACTCGCCGCCGGTGCCTGCCCTGTGTGCACGTATGTCACGGTTTAACATCTTAACATAATTAAAGTCCTGCCACACGTCATAAAAAACCATGTAATGGTTTCCGCGGTCTCTTAGCAACTTTTTAAATGTTTTTAGCATACATATATTAAATAAATAAATAAGACATTAGACTACATAAATTACATTAATCTACTAATTGGTGTCGATTCTTGTATATAATTCTATAGATCAATCTACCCTATTCACAAATTTTAGGGTATATCAATATACCCTAAAATTTGTGAATAGTGGTGCTGTTTACGGTAAACAACTTTAATAAAACTTATTAGCCTAACAGCTTGTTACCTGGTAGTAGCGTAGTCTTCCTCGAGTATGACATTGTGATGCGCAGGTGGCGATCTCGCTACGTGGCCCGTCGCCATATAGTAACTCTCATTCCGAAGTCCCGTCAACCTGTCGATCACAGGATTCCACCCGTCTAATCTGCTCCACTCGAAGCTATCTCTTTTAGTATCATGCGGAACGTTATCTCTGTCCCTTTCTAAATAACCCTTGCTGTCATCCGACTGGTTCGATACCCAACTCGTGTTGTTGTTTATGGTCACAATAGTAGCATGCTTGCCGCTTCTGCCATCGTGGATGTCGTGCCCTTCTTTCTGGTCATACTTCTGGTTGTAGTCTATGGTTCTGTTATCTTTCTCGCTATTAGAGTTGTATATGACTGTGTTGAAGTTTTGCGAGCTGTTGTCGATAGAGTTGTTTGATTCATTCCCGTTGGGCGGTGTGTCGTCTTTCCATCTAGCCAAGCTGTCCATACTGTCTGATGGACAAATATACAAATATGGTTTACTGACATTTTTGGTGCAATTTAAATAGGTCGTTTAATATGCTCAAGCAAATACGTAGGCTAAAGATAGTATCGATGGTTTTGTTAATAAAAATCGTACTTAGAAATATAAAAACCAAAGCAGAATTTAAAAATTTTTTTAGAAGGAATTTCATACCAAGTTGTCTTACTCAACAGTTGAAAGGATTTAATTGAAATTTGGTACGCAAAATTGACGTCCTGGATCGATACAGAATTATAATATTTTTCATTATTACTTTAATAAAAAATCAATTAAGGTATATATACATAGTAGTAAAGCTAGTGAGTGAATGCAACGTACCAGTCCGCCTGGCGACGGTGAGTGAGATGTTGCCGTGAACATGCGGCCGCGCGTGCAGCAAGGCACGGCGCAGCGTCTCCATGGCTTCAGCGTTCGACTGCCCCACCAGCGACACGCCGTTGACGCTCAGCAGTTGGTCGTTCGTGTGGAGCCTGCCGTAATAGAACACATAATATTAACACAGTCGGGAGGGAGGATCTACCAGTAATTGGGGACTATTAACAACATTGCTAACGGTATCAGACCAAGGGGGAAGTGATTATTAGTAATGTGGGCTACCCAGTCCCATTGCTAGAAACGACCTCCACGTGGTCCCCCTGGAAACCATCATGCTAAATTCCAGGTGTATTCATCACGATGGGACAATTAACCTACCTATTCATTTTCATCTATTTTCCCTCACTGGTACCCCACCAGCGTATACCGATAACGTACGATAAAGACAAGGTTACCATTCCATTATCACTCATTAAAAAGTCAATCTTTCTTAACAGTCGTCTAACTTCTACATCACTAATTGTCATGTAATTACATGAACGACTTGAAATGTATTGAATCACTGCACAACGGAAGGAATAATTATGATCGTCAAATAATAATATAATTAATTACAATAAAGCTATCAAATTCGACGATTCCGAGTCAGGCCAATTTAGAAAAGTATTTTTTCTAAATTGACTCAGCCTGATTGTTCTAAGTTACAATTTCATTATAGATGCCATCAAAGGTATCTATTTTTAAAGAAATACCTATATAAAAATTTCTATAACATGAAATATTATATCTAATAGGAGTCTTCATAATCATTATTAATCTGATTCATTTTTAAACGTCTTCTAATATACATATACCTAAATTGACTTATTGATGAATAACAGCTATTTCGAGGTAAAGCAACTTCACAATTGTTAATGACATTTTTATCGAGTAATACAATAACTAATTAGATTTTGAAGAGTTCTGTTTTTTTTTATACAACTTAGAATGGCAAACAAGCTGACGGTCCACTTGATAGAAAGTGGTAACCGTCGCCTATAGACATGAGCGGTATCATAGACATAACAGAGTATACTGTTTCGCCCATGATAGCCCCCATGCGTTGCCATTTCTGAGGACTCAGATGTTATTCCTCTGTACCCTGTAAATTCACGCCATATCCCACCCTTCAAACCGAAACACAGCCATGCAAACAACTACTTCACGGTAAAAACACGAATGGGACAGAGGTACCCAAGCAATCGACTTTTGTACAAAGTCTCCCTCTGTTTCCTTACATTTCTCGTATATAATTTTTTTTTTAATTATTATCCTCTGTCTACCTACTACTTGCAAGCATAAACAAAATTTTGTATTTAATATAATTTTGATGTAAATTAATCACGATATTGCTTTAACAAGTAGTAATATTCTTAAAGTTATACCCTTACCTTCCATCTCTGGATGCAGCACCTCCATGTAGCACCGACTTGATAAAAATACCCAGATCTTGAGGATCGTTACCAACAGTCACCTTGCCTTTCACGCTAATACCTAATCCAGCTTTTTCGGAATCGTGAACTGGAATATCTAGCCTGAGGATCAGTCTATTTCGTAGTCCTAGTATCTGAAAACAAATATATTAAAATATTATTTTTTACTATTTGATTAAAAACGTTTTTAAAAATTACTAGATTCAGAAAATATTATAAACAGTTTTTGGATGGACATTGGATGTCGAATCGCCAATTTGAGTGCAGTAAACAATTTCTCTACTGTTCTACTGGAAAGATTCAGTTCCACGCTCGAATATCCCAAATTCAAACGCAAAAAAAGGTTTAGAAAAATCATAGCTTGTGTGATGAACCTAATGCAAGAATAATAAAGAAATATATTATGTTGTCGTTACAAAAATAGATATTAAAAAAGTCACTTACAGAATTAGTGGAAGTATTCAATGCGTCCTGTGAATGTGACGTTACGTCCCCATTCTGTTGTCTCAGAAGGTCATCTTTGGAGGAGCTTTTTGGTATTCTGCCTCGCATCGAGCTATTGTTCTGGTTGATTGCGTTCACAATACTCGACACCCGCCCATTCTCCATGCCGACCTCTTTTGATATACTGTTTGGAGAACCGATAGCTTTTTCTGTATACTTCGCGGGACTTTGCTGAGGTTCCATCCTCTGGAAAATAACGTCATGATTATTATTACCTAGAGACTAGTCAAAATCTCATGTCAATTCCATATCTTACATATTTTGTATTTATCTAATAGCGCTGCATTGCTTTTATAATGTTACTTTGTCTAAATATAAGTATAGGGGAAAAAGCAACCATAGGTACGCCATTAACCATAATATCTTTTCAAATGAAAACACTTGTATTATTTTTATAACCTATAAGGTTTTTTTATGCAACTTAGAATGGCAAACAAGTTGAAGGCCCACCTGATGATGATAAGTGGTAATCGTCGCCTATAGACATGAGCAGTACCATGGACATAACAGAATATACTATCTCAAGATACCCCCATGCGTTGCCATTCCTGAGGACTCAGATATTAACCCTGTATCTATACCCTGTAAATTCACTGCGATATCCATACCTTCAAACTGACACACAGCTATGCAAACACAACTGCTTACGATTAGTTGGTTGTTGTTTAGGTTAGTACAATTGCTCATCCTTAATTATCTCTGTATGTGTAAATATTTATGGTATTTTTTAAAAGGTTATAATTCATCTTTAGAAGTAGTATTCTCATATATAAAGAAGAATTGCAACTCCAAATCTCCAACATCAATAACAGTACATCTAAAGGATCAGACGTATTTAAAAAGGAATACGGTAGGCACCAAATAATATTAACATGTGCTGCCCACAAATAATATAATATAGCCCGAAGAATAATTAAGCTAGAAACGGTTATGGGCTGGTCACAAGCTCGAAATTCCGATAAGCAATGGGTAAAAAATGGTTCTTGTGTAGCGACCCCGTACAAACAAACGCAATGTAAAATGACCCCCCATTAGATGGATTAACAACCTCAAATGTAATGCATAGTCACTGGATGCACGTGACTCAGGACTGTTTTTTATAGTAATTTATGGATGAGGTTTATATTTAGCAGTAGACAAGCAAGTTAAACGCTGATATAATTATGATGTTCCCAGGATGCGAGTGGAGCCTTTAACTATGGCTTTAGCTAAGGCATATTTGGGAATACACATGCGCCTATTGTAAGGAACTATGCACCTCTTTGTAATCTTACAACAGACCAATGGGATCAGAACAAAAACAAGCTGGCGTACCTGCGCGTGCGGCCTGGCAGTAGGCGGCAGAGTACGCTCGACGACGATGTCGACGGTGGAGTCGGCGGGCGTGCCGCGCAGCAGCGCCACCAGCTGCTGCTGCGTCTTGCCGGCCACCGCCGCGCCGCCCACCGCCACCAGCCGGTCGCCCGCGCGCAGCCGCCCGTCCGACACCGCCGCGCCCTGCGTACACGCAACCATAGAAGTCAACCACACAATCCTCCAACGATAACAAGCTATACGAGGAGAAAGAGATTGTTAGTAATGGAGACTGAGAATCCCATTGCTAGCAATATACCCAACCAGGTCGACCTCCTCGCGGTTCTCCCTGGAAACTATCATGGTTAATTCCTGATGAATTCATCATGATGAGCTAACTGACCTGTTTTGATTCTCATCCATCACCCTTCACTGGTGCTCCGCCAGCGTATCCCGTTAGCGCAAGCAGGGTTACCATACCATTTTCACCCATCAAAAAAAACAATCTATACGAATAATATACAGCGGGAGAATTTGTTTGTATATAAATATACAAATTTAGTTTTTATATAAATATGCTATAATTTCTGGAACTACTTGTTAGATTTTTTTATTTTTGGCATTTAATAGTTCATCTCTTAAAGAAGATTATAGGCTATTTATGGCAGGATATGACGCCAAGCGAAGCCATGAGATATAGTATATATATCTTCTAGTCTTCAAGTTAGGATACCTTATGATATTAAGAACGCGGCAATGAATGTCTGAGAATAACCCAGAACACCCTTACCCGGACAAATAAAAAAAATGTATATTCCAAATTAACCCGACCTGGAATAAAAACTGAGACCTCGTTTACGCAATTCAAATATAAAATAAATGCCAATATTAAAAAGCTGCAAAGACTACACAAACTTCTCAATATATGTATATATTGAAAAGTTTGTGTACTGTGTGTGCCTTTTTACTGGATTATTCATAGAAACGTCGTCACTTGTTACCTTGGGCAATATAGTCTTTATATAGATGGGACAATGTCCACCGGTGGGGTTGTCCCTGGTGGTGATGGTGAAGCCGAGCCCCTTCTCGCCCTTGACGAGCGAGACGGCGATCCTCTCGGTGCCGGCTGACGGCGGCCCGCCCGGTACTTCTGGTCCGGACACCGCGCGCTCGCTGCTGCCCACTATTTTTTAAAACAAGTAAAACTGTTTGAAGATTTTATATTACAAAGTTAAAGACATGAAATTGGGAGGGAGGGGATTTTAAGTAATGGATATTAGTAGCCCCATTACGTTTAATATATTTATCAGATCAACTTCCACGGGGTCTTTTCTGACCTTAACTTATTCACTGGGAGTTCATGATAGGTCAATTGACCTGGCTTTAGCCTCACCTGTCATCACTGAATTCCCAATTAGCATAAACCACGAGCACAGAGTAACCATCCTATTATCGCCCTTTTAAAATGACATGTATCTTGTTTCATAGCTGTACGGACAAAAGCGTAAAAATATTTTTGTTCACGCTGTGTCCGACTTTAACGCTCCACATTTTATAAACAACGGCATTCGTTCATCTATTGACAACATTTCTTCCAAAAGTATCAGGCTCCATTTTTTAAATAAAATTAATTTTAGGGTCGCGGAATATACCTTCTGTATCGTAGTATTATCGGATATTCTATAATAATAAAATTGTATTGAACGCACCTTCAGGTAAGAGATCAAGCGGACGTTCTTGCACTGGATGCACACTAGCAATGTTGTTCACTCCTGACACCCACCGAAGCATATCTTCTACCCTGTAATTAGTTTAAATATAATTTTTTATCATACTTAAAAAAATTGTAAGTCTATTATTTTAACATTAGCATTATATATGTTACCTTAGTACAAGGGTCCTATATATTTTAAAAAGTTATTAAAAATGTTTAAAAAAGTTATTAAGTAAAAGAATGTATCAAATATTTCGAATTAGATATAGGTATACTCAAATATCTGACATCGGCAGAGCGACACAGGATCGTTTATGGTGAAATATGAGAAAGAATTATAGTCGATACTGGATGATGATGTCACGTTGTATTGATAATGATATTTAAAGGTTTAATATAAAGGGAAAAAGATGTATGGAATAGAATCGGAACGTTTGTGTCTATTTTACATATAGATCATAAATGTCAGACAATATGAAGATAGCTAGCAATATGATCACACCTGTGATTTTGGTGAGCATTCATCGGAGTATCCTGTCCTAAGGGATCTTTACGCGCATCCCGAGGTAGACTTTTGCTGCCGTAACTTTGTATCCGTTCAGCTGCATCTAACCATACACCACTCCTATAAACAGTCAAAATATTTTATGTAGGCTTAATAAAGTACCCTAAGAGTAATATGCATCTTTGTCATATTGTAAAATATTGTGTTCATATTGATAATCAAGAAAAAGAAAATTAAAATATAAATGTTGGTTTAATTTCAAGTTTTAATAATATAGGTATGTCTAAATTTATTGATAAACTACTCGAATGCATTGGGCACTGTTGTGACTTTTATAACATACTTAAATTACGTACACTAATACATATTTCGAAGCAAGTAAATAAAAAAAAAACCAAATTCCTCATTCACTAATAAAGAAAAATGTATCAAAGTGATATTACATATTAATTTATTTCCTAAAAATAGCTTAAGCTGTGTGAAACTATATTTCTTACCCGGGGCCAGAAAACTGCATTGATAAGCGGTTAGACTGCCTCTGGAAGTGTTGTCCTGGATGACCGTGTCTTTCGGGCATGGAGTCTGGGGGCCGACCATCTGTTAAGGGATGGACTTTCTGCGTTATTCGACTACTGTCATCTCTGCACACCACCGCCGCCGACCAACGCTTCGTTTGATCTGAAACCTGGAAATAAAATTCAAGGTTATGTATTAGCAATAAAAAAAAATCGAAAACCTCATTATTGAAATGGTAGCACTTTTCCAATATTTTGTAATACTTAAATGGTCTCTGATTCATTCCTTTCCCGTTGGTATCATAAGAGGCGACAAAAGAAAATTGTCGAGGGATAGGCAGCAGCGTCCCTCTTAAAAAATCTCCAAAGCCTAACTGCGGTTGCCTGTCAAGCGTGGCAACTATTAGCAAAATTCCCCAATGCCTATGTTCAGCAGTGGACAGTTCACGGCCGATATGATGATAATGAATGGCTTCTGATAAAGTACAAAAAGCTTATATTCTACAGTAAATATTATAAATTACTTTAAAACCCTTCTCGAAACGTCCTACTTTTGTAATACAGCTTCATAAACTGTAGGTTATAATGAATAATAATACCTCCTGTGTTAAACTTTAATAATATCTATTTGAGTAAAGAGATTTGAATTTAAATTGTAATGGTAAAATCGTTAAAAAATACTATAGATTAATTAAACAGTCTCAGTATGTATGAATGGGCAGTAAAACGACCGTTACTTAAAAGTGTTTACATATAAGTATGTATAGAAGTGCATACATATATCACTCAAGACCATGCATGACGTGGTTAATCCTTTTTCTACCAAAGAAACTGACTAGCTCGGCCTTGCCTATATTAATCATTCTTTTATTTACTCTACTGGCCGCAAGCAGCACCTGAGTGTTTTCATCACAATAATAAATAAATATAACTAGGTGTGTACTTTTTTATATTATGCATTTATATTTTTTATTCGTAGTTATTGGACAAGTAAATAATGAAATCTGAGCCAACATCAGAGGCTTTAGTGAAACGCAAACAGAGAAATACCTAAATAATAAATTAAACAATGCAAATAAATAACTACTTTTGTTTTCTCTAAAGGAACTTTTACAGGAAGTATATTTATCATTCTATAGTATTATACGTGTTCTATGTTTTCATGTACATCTCGGAAAATCCTTTTTTAGTGCTCCTAGAAGTCTGAAATGACTAACTGGTCTCTGTGATGGAAGAGTGTCTTGGTGCAGTGTCGGTTCGCTCCCTCGTCGAACTTGTAAGCCGTTGGCACCGTCCTCGAGGTCCGCCGCTCCGACCTCGACGCACGAGTCGGTGTTCGGGACTCGCATACTGCCTCCCACGCCACCGCCACCCTGTAAACGAATAAAAAGTTTTTATCATTAAATTGAAATTACATTTTTACCAACAGGCGACATTTTCTATCATGTCCCACAAAAGTATGGAATAAACTACGTGCAACGTTATTACAAAACTAATCCTATATGGGGTTCTTCAAGAAGACAATTTATACTTTTTATAACTCCGATATGCGGTTATCACTTACCATCGGACTAGCCATATGCTCTTTTGTCACCGTTTCATGACAAACTTTTTTATCTTACAATATAACAAAATTGTAACAATGTACATGGGAGATATTTCAGAAAAAAAAATATATCAAGTGTCTTAATTAGAGCAACAAAAGTCAAAATAATAATTTATATAAATCTTGTTGTCAGTATATATGTTTGTTTCGGCATCAGACAAAAATTACCGCACCAAATTGGATACGGTTTTCACAGTTGTGTCCTTATCTAATTTTTAATATAATTTGAATATGTTTTATCTGTATGCCATCTTTCATATATATACACATACATACATATATGTATATAATTTTCAAATGTATATAATACGATACAATACAGTACAATATAAAACACCCCGTGTTTTTACATATAGAAATTTTATTCTAATTTACGCAAGCAAGGCTATAGTTTTGAGATAGCATACGAGTATATGCGCAATAAGATTTCACAGGGCAGTGCCGACCTATGAGCTTAATAAGAACCTACCTACTTAATGCGGACTTCGAGGGCAGTGTACGATCGACAGAGTACTGGCATAATCTGTAATCCTGTTAGCCTACTTTAAGCTTGTTCATTATAGACTAGATATCGCGTACAAGCTAGGCATGCGCCATAATCATTACAAATTGCTATCACAGACGTCTGCGCCCTGCCATCTGCCTATATTGAAATCGGATATCTACAATATTATTCAGCAAGTAACATTATTCACCTACACTAAAATAAAATAAAAATGTTTATATTGTTATGTTTATATCTACCTACCTATTTAGTAAAGTTCCCAAAATGGGCAATCGCGACACCCATCACAACGGTGACTGGCTCGTTTAGCTAAACGCATGCCATTTTTTTTTTATATAATTAAGAATGGCAAAGTAACTAACAGGCCACTTGATAGAAATTGATAATTATTATGTATAAACATGTATAGCATCAGATATCGCTAAATACATTGTGATGCTCATACTGTGATATAGTCATTCCCTGATAAGTTAATATTCATAACAAAATAATTCCAATTTGGAGATTACAAATTTCATTTATATAGACCAATTTACACATTTATATACACCATAGACTTAAAAAACTAAACATATTTTGCTAATCCGGCTTAACCGAAAGCTAGGTAGGTACCGACTGCTTTAGTCACAGACTAAATATTATTAAGTATGTGTCAATAGCATTAAATAATCTTTGTCACTATTAATTTAGGATATGACGGTAGGTATACTACCTAGTCCAACTACCGTCACGACTTAAATCATCAGTTATTTGATTACCAATATAGGTAATCTACTCATGTACTTTATAACAGTCAATTATAAAATTAACAAAGTACCCAACCCAGGTACTTTTATGTAAGTAACAGAAATTTAAATTTAGAACAATAACTTTGTCTTTAAAAGAACTATCAAAATTGACTCAGAAATAATAAAGACAAAATATAGGGAAATTGAAAATGTCCTCTTTTTAAAGTCGCCTATTGATTATATTTATTTATTTATTAGGTACTACTATTTAATTGTTATTAGTAATTAGTAAAAAATTACAGTCAACTTACCAAAAACGAAAAAGCCAATACGTGAGTATAAGACAAATTCAAATATTTATATGTGTACTTTAATTAAAAAAAGGTTGTAAATACATATCTTTAAATATACTTAATGTAAAATTAAATATAACAAACTAGTAGTTAGATCTTAAAGTTATACCTATATTGTAAAATCAATAACTATTTTTTATAAAGTTATTAGGAAATAAGTAACTAGATAACTAAATACTAGTATACTATCTACTAAATATATTAATTGTATGTACGAAATTCTAACAAATAGGTATGTAGTTTATTTAGTTAATAAAATACACAGTACACACTACTACTATACTATACTTGTACGAAGTTATATTAAAAATATCTAATAATTATCCCAGCCAATATTTAAACTTACTCTAAATTCTCTTTCACCAAAACAATTGGAGAAACACAATCCCATTGTATGTTTCCGATTAAACGTTGTTTTACGTCGGCTGTTAGACATAACTGGCACAACTTTGTGCAATTGGAAAACTTCATGAATATTTTACAATAAAACAAGAGTAAACAAGTTACAACACGATTTACGTTTCAATTATTTACATACGTTCCTTGTTTCAAAGATGAAATGCCGCGTTTTTCTTTTTTTTTTATTTATTTTACAGGCAAAGGACCATACTAACGCAGCTATATACTCGTAAGTTGCCTACTATAGTACGTCTGTTTACCTATGATCATTTTTTTAATCAAAAAAAAAATATTAACCCCACGACCTGCATTTTTCCGTGTGGTGCAGTCTTTCTTATAAGTATGGGTTCAACGTAGGAAAAGGTAGCTTTAATACTGGCCACAAAACTCTGACAGTAGTTTTCGTAAAGTGAAGTCAGTAAAAATTCATACGAAAAAGTATGGTAATTAAAAAAAAAATATTGTAAATTGAATAATGTCGTACTGTGAAGTTGAGAACATAAAATAAAATATTTATTTATTTTTTATATTTGCTTTTGATTTTCCCGCCAAAAAGTCCAGTTTATATATGTAGGGAGATTATATATATTATATATTTAACCTTTTGATTTATATTGTATTATTTAACAACAACAAAATACTACAAAATGGAAAAGGTGTATGAAGTATTAAAAGAAAGAGCTGTTGAAACCAATAATTCATACTATTCTTATTTTAAAACGTATGAAATGTAGTGTATGTTCATATTTACTTTTAACAAAAAATAACATTTGTACGAAATTTATGCAACCAATTCAATCTATTACGATACCTATATTTTGGATAGAGGAATATTGTATATAACACTAAATACTCTTTATTTTTATAGTGTTGGTTATAGTGGGGCCATGTGTTGTGTAGATTAAGGATATTACATCTCGTGCATCTCGTACGTTTCTATAGTTAGTCTATGGTATATCTACAAATATATTTTACCCTGCAACAAGTGGAATTTTCCTTTGCAAAAGAATCAACAGCATTAATCCCGACAAAAATAATATGGAACCAACATGACGGCAGACCCTATGATTTAGGGGGAGAAGGGATTGTTAGTATTGGAGATCTAACAGCCTCATTGCTAACAATATACCTATCAGGTCGACCTTCCCCCGTCCGTTCCCCCTGGAAACCATCTTGATTAATTCTTTATGAATTCATCCCTATAAGTCAGCTGAACTACTTTAATCCTCATCTACCATCTCTCACTGGTGCCCCGTCAGTGTATACCGATACCGCAGGCGGAGTTACCATTACATTGTCATCCATTAAAAAAACCCTATGAATTGCAAAAAAATTCAAGTAAATAAAAATTGACGAAGATATCGCAAAACATAGGAAACATCAAAAATAAAAGCGATTAAGAATCTTCTTATTTTCCAAACCCATACTATACCTAGAGATTGTTATTATTGAAACGGTTGCGAGAATGTGAAACAATAAGTACTATAATAATAAGTAGTCTAGTTACCCGAAACATGTCAGGTGAGGCGGTTCCGGCCGATGAACCACTAGCGCCATCTGCTTGAGCTGCTCTTGGCTGCGGCGCTTGGTTGGTGCACTCGGCTGTCAGGGTTTCCCGGTCGTCAGCAACGTCACGCACACGATCATCGGGGTCTAGGATACCGCCGGAACTGGCACGAAGTGCTCTTACACCCACCCATGTTTCTGGACCCTGGAAAGAAAAATAAAAACAAATTAAGAGAATGCAAAATAAATCGAGGCATTGGTGAGACACATCAATGTAATGAAAATGTCTCTTAACAATTGCATAAATCCAATAGAGAGAGAAATAGACTGAGAGAATTAAGCGCTATCTTTGCACAGTCTTCTATTTTCATTGACTTTTTTTTATAATACAGAAGCCAAACGAGCAATGCGGCTCACCTGATGGTAAGTGAATACCACCGCCCATAAGCACCCGCAACATCGAAAGAATTGCAAGTGTACTACGGTAAATTTAAAAAAAGAATATGCTCGCTCTCCAGACTCCCGTAATTTTTTCGGACAGTAGATATAGATCATCAAGATAGATAAGGCTTTACAAATTCGTAATAAATTATTATCCAGAATTACCATCAAAATTCCGGTACAACAAAATTAATGTAAAAAACAATGTCAATGAGAACATTTCATGTGACAATATCAATTTCATTCATCATATTAACGGAACAAAATACTGCAAAATTTAATGATGAGTTATGCGACCTATGTACCAACTATAAAACAACGAGCGAAAATATTCACATTGTTCACCGTTTTACGAATTTGTAGATATGCTTTTCTTATGCCACGAGGGTTTTATAATCAGGAACACAAAATGTTCCCACGCAGTATTTGCGACGCTCGTTCTATTCAATTGAGTTAGTGAATGCTTCATGTTCGTGTATTAGTGTTCTCCGGTTGTTTTGTCTGTTCATACGTTGGTATTGTGCGAATGTCGTCGTAATGGTATTCATTCACCACGTCAAAGTTGTTTTAAGCGCTCATTTATCGTCTCCGCATATAATTTAAAAGTAGAGGGCGACATCTTGCAAAAAAGTGTAATAGTCCTACTTTTAATTGACGATATTACCTATACGAATTAATAATAAAAATGCAACAATATGTTGCACGACGAATTAATCGAAATTAGATTCGCTTTAACTTTTGAATGATTTAAACAATATATTTTACACAGCAGATGGATCATAACAATTAGGATATCTTTATCGTGTGAAACATAACAACATGTGATAACCGCCTTATAAGCCCTACATAACTTACACTTGTTCTGATTTTTTTTGTAATGAATTAATATCGAATATACAATAGTAGAGTATTAGTAAAGGATAAAACAATGAGGATGAATTCAGATTTGTAACCACGATTGTTTTTAGGAGACGTTACTTGGTGATCAACCTGACGTGATATATTGTAAAAATATCTTCAAACGCCTGCCATCTCTTATGCTTCTAAGTGGAGGCACAGGTAATTTAAACCGAAATTGAATAAAATGTTCATGTTAGATATAGTAGTATACATAAGTAAGTACCCAAGTAACAGATCTGCGCTCTTTGGCAGCGGCTAAACGTGCCAGTTTCTTGAACCTGGGCGGTGGCACTGGCTTCTCCACCCTTGACTCTTGCATCATCCGGTGCCATTCGATATCACTCGCAAATATTCACTTCATGTTAACTTCACAATTATGTACATTGGCACAGCACTGACAGTTACGCAAACAGTGTAAGATCGATTTCACTAACTTTATATTTCAAAGCCGTGAAACGAATTCTACCACTAATATAATTCACACTCACTGTATTGCTGAAGGCAATTCTGGTATGAGATATTTACTGATCAAGAATGAAGCAAAGTATTTAGATCATGTCGGTGGTTTAGTGACGCGGATGAGACCTTGGCCTTCGCGCACCACTGACCAAATACAGTTTTGTGTTCACGTGCCCTGCACCAGATGCTACCAATATGGTTGTGATTTCAAATTTTAAATTGCTTAAAGTTTGGTTTCCTAGACTAACTGCCAATATACTCGTATGTAATGAAATACATAGATAAACTGTATGCAATTAATTGTGTTAAGTAAATTTTGTTTTTTAAAATACATTATTTTAATTTACTAGAATGAGTATTATGTAAATATATGTACTCATATATACGCGCAAAGATAATATGTACATTACAATAAAAAACTTATGACCTCTGAATAAAAATTTTCATCAAAGTAGTGACGTCAATCGTAACAAAAGTATTATTTTTTGGATGAACACAGGAATATACTCTATCAGTTAAAACAAGAATTATCAAAATCAATTCAGACTTAGTGAACATATGGTAAAACATTTTAAAAAATACAATCATATTAAGAACGTCCTCTTTCATAAAGCCTATCATCTCTTTATTGTACGAGTACGATGCAGAACGCATGGATAAACTGCATCAGTAAGAGTTCTGAGAATTTTCTCAGCATAACATGGTCAAGACCGCACGCGATATTATTGTACGAGAGCGATACAAAAAGTTATTTTCACGTTTACATCATCAACATGCATATTTCGTTATGGTCTACATAGAATTTCTGCACACAATACACTGCAGGCAATTTTATGTTTATTTTTTTACTTATCGTTTCGCTGTTCGATCCAATTTGGGCCAAATGGACAATGATAATACTATTAACACCTTTGAATTGTTATTTTAATGGAAGGACTAATATAGTAGAATATATATAATCCTCAGTATTTTTATCGTAGGTGGCAAATTCAAGAATGAAGCACATATACAATACAAGAGAAAAAAATAGCGTGTAGATAATAGTAAACTATATCCTTCTTTTATAAGAGACTCGTATCCAGCAATGACATGTTTATAATGAAAAGTTTATATGGTGATGATAATGAAGATAGATTATCTAATAGGTTTTACGTCAAACGTTTTCATAAACACAATAGTAATAGGTACCCATTCAATTAAAACAATAAAATAGTAACTAAGTACCTAATAACTATTGTTTTTTTTTCAAGATTAACATCAAACATGGTCTCTTCTTATTAACATATAGTCAATGTATGTGTCGTTTATTCATTACGTATTATCTAAGTGTACTAATTTGTCGATACCATTGGTGCCCAACCCCGTAAACGGTTTAAGCCAACGGAAATGCAAGCCTATATGGTTTGTCACGTGTAGCGAATATCAAACGACCTACATTGCGTCAATGGGGATTTGATAAAACAATAACTAAAATAGGAACAATATGGACAAAATATATTGAAGTTAGAAATGTGAATAAACTTTTATAGCCACAATGACGGTAAATACTAAGTGCGGATTGTTTTAATAGTTAGTATGTACAAAAATTTGATCATATCATGAATACACATATAACTACAATAACAGACAAACGATAACCATAAAAGATTCTTTATAGATATATCTCTGTAGTTTTTATTATTACTGTAATTGGAATGCAGACTCTACAAGTATTAGAGGTTAGATACCTGTTAAGAAAAAAGTATAGCACGTACTTATCACGTACATAATTTAATGCAATGTAATCAATCACTTTCTATTCTCTTTAATTGAAAAAGTAGGCATAAGTAACGTTTACCCAGTTCAGTAGCATAGATGTTGTTTTATTTGATTCTAGCACATGCATGGGACATGATGTGTTGTACATCACACAAAATCAATTTTTCTTGACAATCTAGTTATTTTCCTTCAACGACAATATTTCAATAAACTTTTATTTAAATTATTTTCAATCCAAACCTGCCCCGAGGCAAGACGCGAAATTGTTATGCAAATAGGTACACGCCGTTGCACTCATCGCATACATCAATGCTTTTACCCATTTAAGCAATAAATTGTTAGTCTAACAGTCGCGCTGTTTCGATTAAAAATGTATAGACATACACTAACTAATAGACAAGTAATAATAAATTAAAGCATAAATTCTTGAATATATGCGTGCTGAAGTGTAACTTCAGAAGCCATTCAGTTGTTTTACTTTCATAGTATATTTAATTATCTATGGTTATTTCGCAAAGAAATATATAGGTACTTAGTACACAGGATTTTTATTAGGCTGACAAGCCGGAACACATTAAAATTCTATATATTTTTAAACATGTACGTCTAGATGAAATACTAAATTAAAATCCAAAGTGAAATTGTTAAATCACAATACACAAGCCACTAGTTAAAAACACTGCATACGTTGTAACGATTCAATTTCATATAAGAATTACGAGGTCTTTGTAAAGTTTGCGTTAGAGAAACGCATTCGCGCGACGCCGCGGTACGAATCGAACTGAAGCCGGCGCTATTAGAAAGATCTCACAACAGAAATAAAAGCAAAGAGACCATCACTTATTCCATTTAAAAAAGAACTGCTTTATATGTGCGCTTGAACGAATATCATCGTAGTGAATAGAACTCATTTTTCTTATTTTGTAACCGCTAGTTACGGCTTTACACGTCAACTGCATTGAGATTTAAATTTAATTTGTATATTTTTCTAAATTACTTTAAATTATCACATCACTTGTAGTTCCAGATAAAATAAAATTTTAGAAATAAAAATAGAGCTATATGAAATATGTTCTCGTTATCCAACTTTCAATTTACTAAAAAGTTTTACAAAAACTTAACACAATAGCTATTTTATATCCTCTCCACTAATAAACTAAGTAGGAGAATATTTATAATTGTTTATGGTACTATTTTGTGAAATAAAACCTGTAAGTTTAAATGAGTCATTTTATATCCACGCTTGGAATAAAACAGTTTTATGGAGAGTTTTACGAAATGCTCTTAGGGGGAAAGAGATTGATAGTAATGGGGTCGAACTGTCCCTTTGTTAGCAATATACGCTATTAGGTCGACCTCCACGCGGTTCTCCTGGAAATTATCGTGGTTTATGTTGAATTTGTCACGATAGGCCAACATCTTCATCCTCACCTAATTATCCCGATACCAGTGTATGCCGATAGCGTAGGTGGACTCACTATTTAATTTTTACCCATTTTTAAATTGAAATTGTTTATTTTTATTTAAGAACAACAGTAATAACAGAAGAAGAACAAAAGAAGTATAAAAAGATAATGCGATCACTATTGTTCCCTTATTTATACTTAATCAGTTAATATTTGAACTTATAACCTAAAAATCATCATG